TGCCTCTCCTTGGTTGGGGGTGGAAGCTGTGGGAGAAACCCCCATGGCTGCCCTGCCTGGTCCCATCCCCCACCTGGCTCCAGCCTCCTGGCACTTTTTTTTTTTTTAAAGCCCTGCACTTACTGGTGCAGCAGTGGCAATTGGGGCCTCTGGGCACTGGTGGCAGAGCCCCCTGTACAGTGCAGGACTGTGGGGGGCAGTGGGGATTGCCCCCCCCACCTAGCACCTGCGTGGCAGCTGCCCCATGGCATAGGTTCAGCACAGCTTGGCAGGGCACCATGCGCTGCCTGGGAACTGGGGTTGCCAGGGTGAGTGCTGCCGGGCTCTGGCTGATGCATGGAGCTGCCCCAGTTCCCAGGCAAATTGAGCATGGGGCTGGGGGAATTGGACCGGTTCGATTCTCCAGCTTCCTGTTCGCTTCACCTGGGAGCTGAGGCAGCTCCATGTGTCAGGTGGAGCATGGCAGTGCTCAGCTCCCAGGCAGCGTGCAGCGCCCTACTGAGCCATGCTGCACCCATGCCATGGGGCAGCTGCCACGCAGGTGCTGGGGGCGGGGCGCAATTCCCCACTGCCCTGCACTACACGGGGGGCCTCTGCCACGAGCCCTCAGAGGCCCTGATCACCACTGCTGCAGCTGGTGAGTGGGGCTTAAAAAAATAAAATTAAATTAAAAATCCCTCCCTCTCCCAACCCCAACAGATTTACCAGCTGGGGGCAGCTGTCAGCTGCTTATTTAGTCTATGGCCGAATCTCCAAATTGGCTGAATCTTTTTCCGAAGCTTTTCTAAATCGATTCAGAGTTTTTACTTGGTCTCCTGATTTGATTCTGATTTGGAGGTTCAGTCCCCGACTTGGACCGCGTCTTCTCTGAATCGAATCGGCTACCGAAGCTTTGCACAGCCGTAATAGCTACATGGAGCTTTTTATTTTCCTTGCTGCTTTTCTCATCTCAGCCTACTTTGTATAGGCTTTTATGCAATTTCCTATGATTTAAATAAGTAACATGCATAAGTAACTTGGTTGAGGTTGAAATAACAAGTGGAATATACTGAATGTGTTCTTTATGTCTCTCTTTTTTTTTTTTTTTTCTTAATCTTTCAGAATGATTGACTGGCTGTCCTGGCCTCTTGCTCAGCATGTAGAGACTTGGGTGATAGCACTGCTGAAAGGACTGGCTGCAGTCCAGAAGTTTACCATTCTCATTGATGTTACTCTGCTTAAGATTGAACTGGTATGCGGGGTGCAAAACTTTTCTGGGTGGCTTGTGTAAGATACTTTGTGCTTTAATAATATTTTGCCTTTTTCGCCAGGATAGGATGGTGTAAATATTTCTTCAAGATGTTTAGCTGTAGCATAGGGAAGCTCTTACTTATAAAACTAGAATTATATCCATGCTCTTGGAATTCTCATTTTTGAGATTTACTGTATAAAAAGATCTGTTTCCCCCCCCCCACCCCTGCTGTCAGGTTTTCAATCGACTTTGGTTTCCTCTTGTGAGGCCTGGTGCTCTGGCTGTCCTTTCCCACATGCTGCTTAGTTTTCAGCATTCTCCAGAGGCTTTTCACTTGGTAAGTATTTAAATTGAGACTTTTACATTGTTTAAGATACCGGTCACTTCTTAATATTAAAAATATAGTTCTACTTCTGTTTTTTAAAATGATTGTAAAACTGGCATAGGAGCCCTGAAGCATTCCCTACATCATATTTGTTCAATTCACATGTAAACAGGTTTTTCAGCCTGGAAAACACTATCTGGAGTCAGAATATCATGCAGCATTCTCATGGCCTGTACCAGTGCTGCCTCCTATTATTTTGTTTAAGAAATTTCATCTTGCATCACTTTAAGGTCAAAAGTCAGCTTTCTTCTGAAAGCTTTTTCCCACCCTCCAGTCTTCAAAGCTAATTCCATTTACTTTAAACTTTTGATTTAGCCTATGGTAGAAAACAGAATTGCAAATAAAATAAACAGCCTGGAAGCTTTTAATCACAATGTAAATAACTAAAGAAAATATTTACCATTTTGCTCTTCCTCTCTCTTTCCAAAAAGACTACAGACAAAACATTCATCTGCCAGAAATAGAGGTTTTTCTCCAGAATTGTACACAGCTTGACTCTTAAATTTAGACATTTGTTTTCTAAAGAGAGAACTTTTTGGTGATGTCTTAATTTTTTTCCTGCATTTAAGTGCTGCACATTATGCCTCCACCATCATTCTACATGGAGCAAGTTAATGCTTGTTGTTGGTTTCCTGATGAGCACATTGTCTTGCACTATAATTACTCCTATGATTTGATATATAAATAGTATGATTGTAAAATAGGACAGGGAATTGCTAAATCTGTTTGATCTTGTACCGAGGGAACCTTTAGTAACTATATACTATTTTTATGTGTTCTTAAGAATAAGAAGACACAACTGCCTGAATTTCTCACCTCCTGTTTTTAGAGAGTCTCCTTTTTTTAGGAGGAAAATAGAATGCAAAGCCAGTAAAATTGGTAGTAGTAGTGCATTCTTTTAAATTGTTCTTCTTCTGTTGTGTTTTTTCATACAAGCTCTTCAAGCATTACAGTCTGGATCAATCCAGAAATCAATTTTGCTGACATTTGCCAGGATTGCCATATTTGCCACTGGAGTGATCTGTGTGTAGATGGCTTTCTTGACAAGCAGCTTTCTTTTTTCAAAGTTACTAAGTAGAGCATAATGTTGTATTAGGCACACTGTTCACTCCAAGAATGATTTTGCATGACAGCGTGAACTTGTAAGACTTAAAATATGTGGACAAGGGCTCATGTAGCCTCTCATATATTTCCAGCATCACTTTTTTACAACAGCCTCTGCTTGTTTCTTGGGTTGTCCACTCTATCAATTTTGGATGGTTTCAGCCCCCACCACGTGCCCTGTGCCAGAGCTGAAACTGCTGCTGCCATGTACCCTGTGCTGCAGTGGTAGCTCCAGCTGTAGTACAAGACGCATGGTGGAGGCCAGCAGCTGGAGAGGTAAAGCTGTGGCAGTGAAGACAGGTGAAGGGGCTGGAGGGTGTCTGGGCTGTGTCAGCCCTTGCTTGCCCTCCTGCTGTTGATTGCCCCAGAAACTGCAGCAGACCACTCCCTTACCTCTGTGTCCACCTCCCCAATTTTTGGTGGCCCATTGGTAGTTAGGCCAGATGCAGCCAGCAGGCCATGTTTGTTGCTCTAGTACAAAAAAGCTTTCAATGTTTTTTAGTTTAATGCAGTAGTGTTCAGCCTCTGGGCTCTGTGGAGCAGATGTAGCAATGGTCAGACTGAGCTCTGGGGCCCATGATCACCCCTTGTGCACTGGGATTGGGTCCCAGGGGCCTGCTGCCACTCTCTTCTACCCCCTTTATGCCAGGATTGGGTGTCAGGGGGCCCAGAGCTGCCTCCTCTTGACCCCACCACCCAGAGATTAGATATGGGGCCCAGGGCTACCCCTGCTCAGCTCTGCACGCTGGGATTGGGCACCAGATCCAGGATACAGGGTCTGGCGCTTCTCATGGGTTCAGAGATTTGCAGTGCTGCTGTTCACCCACTGCCAGATTTCCCAGCCCATGGGCAGGAGGTTGAGCACCCTTTTTTTTAATACACGTATCTACATTCTCTTGGAGGTGGTTCACTAAATTGGACCAGTAACTCTGCTGCAATCATTGTAGATTCCCTCCATGTTGGGTTTGTGGTGTTTTTGTTTTGTTTGTTTGTTTTTTGGGGGGGGTTGATTACTGTTTTCTTGTGCATTTTATTCTTACTACAGAACAGTCTTATTAACTAACCTGCATTTTTTTTTTTTTACACTTTAGATAAACTGTGGAATTGCGCACACATTTCTGAACTAAGTCACTATATATTTAGTTTAGTATTGTATGAATATGAACTCCTTTCACCAATATTATCAAAAACAAGTGCAAAGAGAGATGTATATCCTAGTAATTGTATTACTGAGGATATTGTGTATTCTACAAATCAGTAATAAGGAAACATATTTTTTACAGTGCGCTAAAGATCACTGTTTACAGTTGTAAAAACCAGAAATTTATTCTGCGCCAGTTCTGAAGTTTTATACTTTTTTTTTGTAAATTAACCTGTTGATTTATTGAGCCATATCACTTTCAGTAGGTGGAGCTGGTAAGCTACATCAGCCCCATAAAAAAGTAGGAATAAAGCTTAAAATATGAGGGAGGTGAATTGGTATATTATATATAAAACACATTATTCTGTATTTTAAAAGACGTGTGAGAAATAACAGTAGGCACTAAATCACTAATGGTGGCTTATAAACAGGGATCCTGGCTTTCTCAGATTAAAAAAAGAAATCCCAAATTCTCTGATTTAACCCCCCCCACCTGTATTTTTCTGCAATTAAACTGAAACACCGCCACCATACATAGTACGTACATACATTGAACACAATGTTTTATTGAGATATTTATAATTTAAGAGAATTTGGAAGCCTACTGGTACTTCAGTCATTATAATAAAATACATTCTGAATATTTATTATTTTGGCATTTGGTTTTTTTCTCATGAAAAATCAGAGCTCCCATTGCCTCCTTCACTCACCAGGATGCAGGTCCAGCTGTGGCTGCTGCCTGCCCCCCCAGCTGCTTCTTGATGCTAAGTAGCCCTGATATGCCAGTGCCTTGCCCCTGCTCATGCTGTTGCTCCTTAATCCCAACCCACAGCCCCCACCCCCCATCCTTGTTGGTGAGCCCCTCACTCCTGACCTGCACCCCCCCACAGTGTGTGGGGAAGGGGGTGGGGATGTGTGGGGCAGGGGATGTGTAGGCACAGACAGTATCATAGGCAACACAGTGGGGGGGGCATGTGCCCCCCCCCCCCCCGTTTTCTGTGCCCACAGCAGGGCATGGGGCTGCAGCATGGTGGACTGGCACTGGTCAGGAGATGCCTCTGCAGCCCAGTAGGCAGGACCTAGCACGGAAAGGCAGAGTGAGGTGGGAAGGCTCTGTGCTGCTACTGCCACTGGGAGCACCACACCACCAAGGTAAAGTGTCCCTTCCCCACTACAGCGATGGGCGAGCACAACTCTGCAGCACCTCACCTAAGTGGCTATGGCAGTGCAGTGCTCCTAGCACTTTAAAGGAGAAAATCAACTTTTTTCTGTGGGAAATGGAAAACCTGGATCCCTGCTTATAAGCAAAACATTGACTATTCATTCAAGAAAATGTGCATCTGAACTCTTGTCACTTAGAAACTTAGTTAAGATACTGAGTTAAAACTTCAGAACTTGAAGAGGATATTGGGGGGAGGGGAAAGAATATTGAACGGCGTTGTTAGAAAATTCTAGATGAGCTAGTGATGAATAATGCATATTTTTCTGATGAAAACTTTCTAATGATCTCTAACATACTTTTATAGAGGACCTCAAATTTCTAATCTATTTAAAAATGCATTAAATAGAAAAAAATAACCTCTTTTCTCTTTAAGGAAGATGTGTTTGCTTTGACTTTATTATCACCGTTATTTATTTTTTGCATAGGTTGTTCCTCACGTAGTCAATTTAGTTAACTCCTTTAAGAGAGATGGTCTGCCTTCCAGTACAGCTTTCTTGATGCAACTGGCTGAGCTGATACACTGTATGATGTATCATTATTCAGGATTTCCAGAACTCTACGAACCTATTCTGGAGTCTATAAAGGTATAATATGAATACTAACAAGTGCTTTCTCTGTGTAATGAAACCTGTGATTTGGTAAGGCTACTTTTTTTTTGCTTGTAGAGCCCTGCTTAAAAAATAAACCTCTGAATCATTAGCATAGATCAGATGGTATAGATGGTACTTACGGATTCATACTTGCAGTCCTCAGGGAAAATTCCCTCTTAAGTATCATGCAGTATAGACTTTTAAATGAATGGCTCAAGTGGCAGTGAAGATACAGAGTAAGTTAAGTAGATTTTCAAAAACAGCTTGAAGTTCAACTTCTGTTGTTGAAAACCTCTTTCACATAACTACTCCCACATTCTTGTTCCTAGTTTTGATTTGAGCGCATCAGCTTTATAGAAAAAATATTACAAGTGGGAGCCTGAACTCTACAAATCTCCCACCTGTCTTAACAGTATAGTACAATAGGCAGTTGTGGTCCTACTGTAAAGATCTGGTGGGGGTGGGTATGGGGGAATGTCTTGCTCTAGTGCAGTAGGAGCCAAACATTTTTGGCAGGAGTGCCACAAATTAAGCCCTTCCCCTTACCTGATCTGCTGCTCTGCTTTCTGGCCTCTGTCCTACTTGCCACATGCTACATACAGAGTCTGCCTATGCTACTTGTAGAAATCATGCCTTGGGTTGGTCACCCCTGAACTACCGTCTTCAGCCTGTTTTATTTTTATACTATAAATTAATTTTGCTTTAGCTTCTATTGCATCTTTTTCTCATCTGTTCATGCTTTTTCACCATTCTGTTTACACTGCTTGTTATGAGTCTCTAGCAAGGAGGGATGCCTCAAGAATTTACTTGATGCCTTTCCCAAGGTGCCTACAGATGTGTAACACCCTGCTTTAACTCATGGCACTTTACATAGACTGCCATGATTTAGAGCCCCCCTGCCCCTGCCTCCTGAACCAACAGATGTTTGCCTGTTGGGCAGAGGTGGGAGAGGGGGATGAGGGTGCACCAGCCTGTCTCTAGCAAGGAGGGATGCCTCAAGAATTTACTTGATGCCTTTCCCAAGGTGCCTACAGATGTGTAACACCCTGCTTTAACTCATGGCACTTTACATAGACTGCCATGATTTAGAGCCCCCCTGCCCCTGCCTCCTGAACCAACAGATGTTTGCCTGTTGGGCAGAGGTGGGAGAGGGGGATGAGGGTGCACCAGCCTCTGCACCAGCCCTGGCCAGCAGGCAGGGGCATTGGAGAAGGGAGCAGCCAGCATGGAGGTGCTGACTGCTTTGCCTGGCCAGAGCAGGTGGGAGGGGGAGGGTGTGGAACGGAGCCTCCTTGCCTTGTGGCCCAGGTCTGGTTCCCCCCAACACTCCAGCCAGGGTTGCTGCGGGGGGCCTGTGAGGCAGGGGTCAGGCTCAGTTTTATCCCACTGCCCAGCTCTGGCTAGGCAAAGCAGCTGGCTGCTCCATGCTGACTGCTCTCTCCCCTTCCCCCACTTACAGCTTCACAAAGCAGGCAAAATTGCCTTTCTGTGCTAGGCCCTGCCTACTGGGCTGCAGAGGCAGCTCCTGTTGTTGTGGGGGGGGATCACAAGTTCCCTCAAGTATTCTGCTTTTAGAGCACCTTCATCTATTACCTCATTTGACCAGGGTTAATTTTTTTGTGTGATTGGCCATTTTAAAAGCACTCTGGAGCCGTGAACATGTATTATGGCATGGCTGTAGTGTAGAGCACTTTCAGAGGTCCCCTGATCACATGAAAAATGTAATTTGTGTAAGTACCCACAGTGACAGGGCTTTTCAGGACCACTGTACTATTTAAGGAGCTTTTGATGGAAAGAATGGCTTTGAGATTTGAACTTAAGCCAGCAAACTGGTCTTGAATATTTCTCAACAGCATGCATTTACTTTAAGATATATAATAGAATTTCCAGAGTATAACAAGAGCATATTTTGCTGTTTAAACCATGAATGCTTGGGAGTTTTCATGAGGTGACATATGGGGATGTAGTGTTCTCATCTTGGTTTGAAGGGATCTGGGGAATTAAATATCTAAGCAATAACTATTTTAATTTTTTATTGTTAACGGTATGCCACAATCTGAATGGAGGGGTTAACACTATTTCACTTGCCTTCTACTATAGGGCTTGCGCTATTTTTTACCTTGGGCTTCAGTCAGCTCATATTTGTTTACTACTTGTTTTGTATTGTGCTACAACATGAGCAGGCTTTTCTCACTGAGTGAAATGAATGTGCCTTCAGTAGTTCTGTATGCTCTCCAGTCAGGTGCGATGTCGTTGTAATCCAATATTTTACTTGATTACTCCATTTTGTATTTTTAATGGCCTGAGACTGCTAGAGTCCTGAGAAAGGTATAGAATGCTCTTGGACAGGAGTATGTGGTGTTCTGCATTCTCAGTTTTTTTTATTTATTAAAAAAAATAAAAAAAAATCCAGGAATTTTTTGGGGTTTATCTTTGAAACAAAAACAGGATGAAAACAGGATAGAAGGGAAAAAAATCCGTTTAAATTGGGGAAAAATTGGAGTGGAGGGAGGGAATAGGCTGGGACAAGAGAAGAGGTCAGGGAGGGCTGCAGCGCAACCCATCAGCCACTCCCAGGGCTGCAGCAGGGAGCAGAGTAGGGGGAGATGTCAGTGGATGCCCGGGGTTGGGGGGGAGAGACGCAGCTCTTGTTGCTTCATGTCCCCCTGGGAGGGTTGCAGGCTATGGGTCCTGTGCTGGGCTCTTCCCAGGGGATGCATGCCCCTGGATCAGTGGCAGAAAGCATATGGCACCACTCCCTGCCTTTCTTTCCTGTCTGTGTTCGCGCCCCTCCCCGCTGCTGCCAGGCTGCCCTGGCGTTTGGGTGGAGGGGGGAGTGGTGCGTGGCTGGATGCGGGGGGAAACCCTGGCACCAGCACCTCCTGGCCGCCCTGCCCGAGGTCAGAGCCAGAAACCCCATGGTCCCAGGCAGCAACTCCAGCCCCGTGGGCCTGTGTGGAGCAGTTGGGTGCAGCGCCCGCCACAAGGAGTGGGGCCAGGCTCTCCTGCTGGCCCTCCCCACACCCCTCTTTCCTGGCAGGGCTCGCAGCTCCCAGTGCCTGGGGCAGGGACGAAGCCAGAGCTGGCAGGGTGCAGCTTAC